AGATACCATTTCTGGTGCACGCACAAGCATCACAGAAAGAAAATGGGTTTCCCAAGAAATGTGATGCGTATTTCCTTAATTCGAAAATTCCATATTTTTTTAGGTATTATTCCACCCAGAAGCAGTTTAGAAGAACAAAACAAATGAAGAATGAAATAAGAAAGGAAAAGAAAAATAAAAGAAACAAAACAATTGTACACTCACGTGCGAGTAAAATGGAAGACCCACAAAATAAACTAAGAAACGCCAGACAAACACTGCGGGTGATAGTTTTTCTAAGGCACGCACAGAGCTAGACACACGTAGAGTGATACAGACACACACACACACCTAGACATGCAGGCCCATTAGCTGTAGACTCATAATAAAATCATTTAATGTAGAAAAAGAAATAGTGCCAACTCAGGTAGAAATCAAAAATATGTAAATACAAAAGGTGTTCAATTGAAACCAAAAAAAAAGAGAGGACTAGAAATATTTTGTTGGGCAAAATTTAGATAATCAAAAAAATATATAAAACCAAAATTTAACAAAATTTAGAATCACATAAATTAAAAAAATCTCAATTTGGATAGTTAATATTTTATAGCAAATACAGACACATTTAATTTCAAGAACGGCAGTAAAAAACCAATGAAGAATGTCTAAAAGTCGGGCGGGGTCGATTTTATGACCTTTGCTTTTTCAATAGAGCTTTATATAACAAGTAATGGGAGCTATAGCTATGTCCGAACCGATTGTCACCAATTTTGACATACTTGTTTCTAAGCTTCATTTTGTCATAAGTGCCAAATTCCATCCCATTTGGGCTAATATTACACGCTTGATGCACAATAAAAGGCAAATCGGACGAAGATATGTATGGGAGCTATACCCAAATCTTAACCGATCTCGATAAAATTTTGGAAAGATATTTCTGAGCTGTATTTGATATATTTCTCCAAAAATCGTTTTTACAGAGTGCATATTACAGCTGTGGAGAACAGATTCGGATGAGCAATTTATATGGAAGCTATAACTATATCCGAACCGATTTTCACAAATTTTTACATACTTGTTTCTAGGTTTCATTTTGTCATAAGTACAAAATTCCATTCCATTTGAGCCAAAGTTACACGTTTGGTGCACAATAAAAGGCAAATCGGACGAAGATATGTATGGGAGCTATACCCAAATCTAAACCGATCTCGATCAAATTTTGGTAAGGTATTTCTGTGCTGTATTTAATATATTTCCCCAAATATCGTTGTTACAGAGTGCATATTACAGCTGTGGAGAAAAATATAAAAAATCGGATGAGCAATTTATATGGGAGCTATAGCTATATCCGAACCGATTTTCTCCAAATGTGGAATGCTGGTGTCTATGTTTAATTTGGTCGTAAGTGCCAAATTCTATCCCATTTGTATTAATATTAAACGTTTGGTGTACAATAAAAGGCAAATCGGACGAAGATATGTATGGGAGCTATACCCAAATCTTAACCGACCTCGATAAAATTTGGCAATGGTATTTCTGAGCTGTATTTGATATGGTTCCCCAAATATCGTTGTTGCAGAGTGCATATTACAGCTGTGGAGAACAAATATAAAAAATCGGAAGAGCAATTTATATGGCTATATCCGAACCGATGGTCACCAATTTTGACATACTTGTTTCTAGGCTTCATTTTGTCATAAGTGCCAAATTCCATCCCATTTGGGCTAATATTACAAGCTCGGTGCACAATAAAAAGCAAATCGGACGAAGATATATATGGGAGCTATATCCAAATCTGAACCGATCTCGATCAAATTTGAGAAAAACATTTCTGTGCTGTATTTCATATATTTCCCCAAATATCGTTGTTACAGAGTGCATATTACGGCTGTGGAGGACAAATATAACAAATCGGATGAGCAATTTATATGGTAGCTATAGCTATATCCGAACCGATTTTCACCAATTTTTACATACTTGTGTCTAGGCTTAATTTTGTCATAAGTGCCAAATTCCATCCCATTTGTGCTAATATTACACGCTTGGTGCACAATAAAAGGCAAATCGGACAAAGATATATATAGGAGCTGTATCCAAATCTTAACCGATCTCGATAAAATTTGGTAAAGGTATTTCTGAGTTGTATTTGATATATATTTTTTTAAATATCATTGTTACAAGGTGCATATTACGGCTGCGGAGGACAAACATAACAAATCGGAGGAGAAATTTATAAGGGAGCTATAGCTATATCTTAACCGATTTTCACCAAATTTGACATACTTGTGTCTAGGCTTAATTTGGACGCAAGTGCCAAATTCCGGAAGAAGATATACAGGGTGAGATGAAAAAACTGCAACCAACTTCAGACTGATGTCATTTCTAAGCCACTCGTCCGACAGCTGTTAAAATTATTCCAGTGACAGCTCATTATATTGTTTACAAGCGTACAAAAGCATTTTGGTGAGAATTTTCCCGGAAAAAGAGTTATTCGTAATGGAATTCAAGCGTGATAGTGTGATTTCTTAATATTTGGCTGGGAAGCCACAAGTGGCTATCATTAGAGCATTCCAGCATTTAAATGTGAATAAATCTTTTGTGTCTCGTACCATCGTTCGTTACTTTGATACTGGTAGCCGACGTCAAGGAAGTGGACGGAAGAAAAACAGCAACATCAGCAGAAATGGTTCGTCGAAAAGTAAAGAAGCTACTTGATCGAAACCCGCATCGCAGTGGCCGAAACATGGCTCGTGAGCTGAACATATCGTAATAATCCATTTGGCAAATATTGAAAAATGAGATCGGGGTAAAACCATTGAAATTCCAAAAAGTGCAAGAACTTACACTGCAACAGCAGGAAAATAGACTCAAAAGAGCTGTTTCGCTTGGCCGAATGTGGTGAACTGCCTAATTTGGTTTTCTCCGTTCTCCAATGAGAAAACGTTCGTTGTCCAGTAGTTTGTAAACAAACAAAATTATCGTGTTTACTTCCCAAAAAGGTCAGCTGCACCTTCGGTTGGCCACAACAATTCAAGCGCCGGCAATGGCGATGGCGTGGGCCGCCATAACAGCCGATGGTCGCTCTCCGGTCGTATTAATCGACCGTGGTATCAGAATAAATGCCGAATATTATCGCGAAAATATTCTGGAGGGTGTATTAAAGCCTTGGGCATGCAAACATTTTGGCCGCAGACCTTGGACATTACAAACAGGACTCAGCACCATCCCAATCAGCACGCGCCACCAAAGAATAATTACAAAATGAGGTTCCTCGCTTCATTTCCAGCGCACAATGGACACCAAAATCTCCGGATACCAATCCATTAGACTATAGTATCTGTAGTATTTTGGAAAGCAAGGATGGCACTAAAAAATACCAAAGTGTCAATCACCTCAAGCAAGCGTTTCGCCGGAAAAGTGCTAAAAGACCACAAAGCAACATTCGTGCAGCGTGTGACGCTTTCATTGGCCTTTGAAGGCCATAATTCGTGCCAAAGGTGACCAATTCCAACAAATCAAAACTTATTCTAAAATTTGATGCTATTTCCGACATTTGTTGCTTTCATTCAATAAAATTTAAAAAAAAATGTAAAAATTATGATGTTTGAATTTGTTGCAGTTTTTTTATGTAATCCTGTACACCCTCTCTAGCCATATGGCACGCTTTATAGATTTTCAATTCCATTAATTACGTACGGACTTTTTTTAAATTGTTTCCGTACATTACAGATGGGCCACACTTCAAAATCATTTCGAAATAAAAACAGCATTTCAACCATTTTCCGAAATCTGTAAAAAATATAAATTTAAGCTATTTCTAATTGCTTTAAATTATAATCCAAACCTTGTCAGCAAATTGTTACCCACTATCGAAGGGTTTCATTTCACACTAGCTTTTCTCAGTTTCCTTCTTTTTATAAAATTCAATTTTTAACAATTTTATTACATTTATTCATCAATTATCCACTTCTTTCAATAATTTTCCTTATTTTAGATTATTTCTCGAATAATTTTCCATATTTTATCAAAGTTTATGGCGCAATTTAATCATTTGCCACATGCAATGCAATTGAATGAAGGGTTCTCATCTGGCAGCTCTATGAGAGGAGATAAGGAATATTTGTGTGTGAGATGCGATGAGAGAGAACAACAAATCTGTCATTAGCTCTCTTCTTCTATTTCTTCACAGAATTAATGAACACTTGTTTGATTTTTTCCCACTGCAAGGAGATAGGAATGTATACGTTGTTCTTGTTTTTATTGTTGTTGCTTGGTATTATTACTCCACGATAGAACGATAGTCCTCATGCCGAGGAGTGTGTGTGTGTGTGTGCGTCTGGGATTACGTTATCGATAACACACAGTAGTGTACCAACAACAGCTGTAAACAACAAAACGAAGCATTGCACAGAAATAACATCACTAATGAAACCAACAACAAAAAATATGGAGAGATTAACAACAAAAAAAAAAGGTAGAAAAGGAAATATAATAAAATACGCATTTATGGAATTTTTAATCAAAGCACAAAACAAAGAGACAAATATGATATTACAAAATGATATACAACTTTTTTATGAAATTGAAAAAATACACAAACAATTGTGGGAATTTTATGATGAAAAAAAAAACAGTTTTTGTTGTTAAATTTAAAAAAAAATCTGTGGGCGTCTAAAGGTTGGTTATGCTTTTTTCTGTACGTTTTATTCCATGGCATATAGATGAGATGCATACATACTACGTTTAATGTTGGCATTATGTAGATTGTATGTATGGGTGTGTGTATTTCAAATGTTGCCCCCTTTCCATTGTTGAATAGCAAATGATTGCGTTTTTTTATTCAACTTAATTGCAGAAATATGTTATCGCAATATTCTTGTAAAGGCGAGGGTTGTCCCCTTTATTTAGCTGATGCAAATTTCCAGTTATTCTTAGTATTCCAATACACTATGTGGTTGTTTTTGTTTTCGTTGCACTACCAACTTAGATATTGACATTTACCGATATTCAATATTACTCACTTTTATTTATTCTTTGTTGTTATTGCGGTTTATTTTGTAGTTTTGTATTTTTTTCTTCTTTTTTTATTTCCTTTTCCTTTGGTAAATTTAAGCTAGGTACCACCATATTTCACATTTCATTTGTTGTCGTTGCTGCTGCCTTCAAAATCATTACAATTTTTGGCATATCCATTGAAAAACTTTCCATTCGAAATTTTCTCCATTATATATATTTTTTCTTGGTTTTGTAAATAATATTACTTTTCTCCTTGTTGCATTCACTTTTTTTACACTTTTCTGCTATTTTTCGTTTTGGTTATTTTCTTCTTTTTAAACTCTAATCGCGGCTGTATATTTTTTTTTTCTTTTTTCGTTTAACATCTACACAACAACACCGTGAACAAAACTATTCAACCACTCGAGAGTTATTTTGTTTCGTTGTACCCTCTGGCTCTGGCTGGCTGGCTTGATGGTCTCATTAATTCATCTACTCATATAACCAACACATTAATTTTGTGTGTGTGTTTTTTTCGTTTTGAACAACAACAAAGCATAAACTCTTGTACGCTCTCTCTCTCTCTCTCTCGTACTCATTGGGGGAGCCTCATGCGACACACACAAAAAACTAATAACACCACTTCACTTACTGCATACTTCACACAACATGATTGGAAGAAGAAGAAGCAGCAGCACAAAAATGAAGTAGAAAAGAAATTTTTTTATTCATGCAACAGAAAGAGGGAATGAGGAACGAAAAAAAAAAGAGTCGTCGTCGTCTCGTTTATGTGTTGGTGTTCGTTTTGATGGAAACCAATGAATGTTGCTGCTTGAGTTTCTTTTTAACAATATTTCTTTAATAAATGCATACTTTTTTCCATATATTCCATTTGCTTTTGTTGTATTGCACTTTACTACATTTATTTTTAATGGGTTTTTTTTAAATAAAATGCACTTAATTGTGGAAAATTTGATTTCTATTTTATTTCAACGAACGAAAATAAGCAAGGAAAATCGTACTCTACGTGCAAAGAACCGAGCCACACTGACATTTTGACGTTAGATTTAGAGTTGTATAGTTCACAAATGAACTAGTTTCATTGCAAGGAGCTTGTGGACTAGGTCACTTAATGGGGTTCAGTGAACTAATAGCACGTTCAGATATTCGAAATCCTGAAATAAAGGCAGAAAATTAATTTTACCAGATAAATAGATAGGTTTGGAATTACCATCCGCTCGAAAACCTCGTACGAATTTACGACACTTGCGTTTTCAAGAACTTAAAAAGAATTTTCTTCCAAAATACCGAGTTTTGATCCAAAATTGAATAAGAAAAATGACGTTAACTCAAGTCAGATCATATTAAAACATAGGTAATTAATTTCATGTCTAATTTGAAAGTACTGGACTTGGTTAGAGAACATTAATTTTAAACGTCTTAAAGTGTGGATGTGTGGATGGATGGATATGAACTTCGGAGTAAAACCTTAACAATATTACCAAAATGGTTAAGTATGACGAAGTGTAGAAAAAATACATAGAAATTGTCTCTCCGGAATAAGGGTGAGGGTACATTAGCAGCTTGGCATCATGGCTAGGCATATTAATGTCAAATTATAAAGCGAAACTACGGCAGGATTCGAGTGCGGCTTTGGTATCCCTTTATGATACTTCACAAAATATGTCATGCGAAGATTTCAAGCTGCATATGTACCCAAACCCTAAAGCTGCAAGTACATAAGAAGCTTGAAGTCATGGCTAGGCATATTTTGTAACATTTCATAAAGGGAGTACAGAGCCGCACTAAAATCCTGCCGTCATTATCCATTATTAATGACTTGACATTAATATGCCTAGCATTGACTTCAAGCCTTTTATGTACTTGCACCCTAAGAGTTTTTACGCTCTGCTGAGTGACGCAAGTAAGAGCAAATTTATTTTTGATATATAATATTCCACACTTCATACGAAATATTCGATTTTGCAAAATAGATTAGAGTTTCATTTAAACAAAAAGCGTTATTTTCATTTTAAATGCCATAGATTATATGTCAAATTAATGACATAACCAGTTATTCTGTGGAACGTATATTATTCCTTATAATTTTTTTCATATTTTTCTTTATAATATCTTTTTTAAATTACTATTTTCAGCACCAAAAATTAAAAAAAAATATTAAAGCCCGCAAAAATAAATTTTATGGCTTATCGGCGTTGCAACATCATAACAATATCTGATAATCACTGTGAAATGATAGCAACATAGTTACAATGCCTTACATACTCATTGCTGCAACATTTTTATGTTGGCAACTCCCTTCTGGCGAAATTTCGATTTAACGGCACATGAAAAGAAATGCTTTAAACGAAGTGGTTATTTATATAAATTAAAATTGATTGTGAGCAATTAAAAAACCTTTAAATATTTTTAATTTATCTTATATATATTTAAAATGTTATGAATGAAGAGAAAGCGCAGAAAAATAAATGTTCTTCTCTGCGGCAATTATATGGCATCGACGGCGTTGCAACATAATGGTAACAGCTGCTAATCACTGTAAAATGATAGTTGCATTGTTATGTACGGCACTACCTTCGATGTTTAGTTCTTCAACATTTTTTCTTTTCATTTTTATTTAAATAGTTGGTTATGTTTTACGGCGTAAAAAATGTTTACACCAATGTTCAATGCAAGAAGGACAGCACTTTGTTTACTCTCTACTATTTCAATTACCATTTAAAAAAATATTTCTTCCGAATAAATAAATCTATACGTTATGATTTTTTGTTGTATTTATAGTATATGATTGCCGCAACGCCATCATTTTAATATCTGCTAATCACTGTAAAATGTTGTCCCTTATATCTTCGCATGGCAATACCTAACGTTCGATTTCTACCAAATGTTCAAGATGGCAACTCCCATATACCATAATGAAAAATTTTGTAGTGTTATGGTATTTCATACCAGTATTTCGGGGTCAAAGTGGATAACTTATATTTAAGTTACGATCTTTTTTCATTAACAAACCAAAACTCAATTAAGGCAAATAGTCATAAAAACGTGTACTTTTTTTGGAAACTCAATCTGTGCTGTGAATCTTTTATTTCTTGTATTTAAATTAGCTCAATTATTAAATTAGCTCTCGCTACTACAATTTATGGCATCAATGACGTTGCTGGTAATAACTTTAAAATGATGCCGCTTTTATTTACAGATGACAATACCTTCTATACACATTTCTTTCAAAATTTAAAGTTGGCAACTCCCCATTACCAAGTTTCTTTGTGATTTTGATTAAATTAGTTAATTGTAATTTAATGCTTCGTGAAAACAAATGCTGCAAAAAATGTGTTTGTTTATACGAATAATTATTGACTCCAAGCCCTTGAAGCAACTTTGAAGATATTACAATTGTGTGATGTTATGGCTGTTTTATTCCTGTGCAATATGTTGCTCTTTAGCTTATTCACATTTCACGACAGGAAGCACGCTAATATTTTAAACTTCCGTGGTCGCCATATATTCCAAATGTTGTTGTGAACTTTTTAATCTAGAATTTTTATTAAAGAAAATATACTATTCTGGCTACAGCAATTTTTTAGCATCAACGACTTTGCAATATAAGCATGTAGTAATCACTTTGAAATGATAGAAACTATATATATACACATGGCAATTCCTTTCATGCTTATTGCTTCAACATTTTTTAGTTGGCAACTCTCTTGTGGCGAAGCTTCTGTGTCATTTTAATAAACTAGTTGATTATAACGGTACGCGAAAAAAAATTTTCGGACGATCAATTTATTTATTCGGATTAGTGTCATTGTTAAACTATAAAAGAAACTTCAAATCTATAAAAATTTTGTAGTGCTATAACCGCTTCAATCCACAAACCTGTAAAAAGCTGTTCGGTAGTTCTATTTCCATTTCAAGAGGATGCACGCCAATATTTGCAACTAGCATGATCCCCATATACTTTAAAATATTGTTCCGTGCAAGAACCATGTTCGATACTGGAAATGGCCGATGTTCCATATAAAATGGTTTCGTGAGGTAAGTATTTCAAATGATTGGTGGGTTAGAATGTTCATAATTTTGTGGTTTTTGTATTTTAGGTATGCCGGGATGGCAGACAAAATGTGAATCATATTAACTTTCCTATGTAAAACATACAAAAAGAAAAAGGCAGACAAGTAGTCTTTCTCGAGAGGAATATCATACCCTGTGTAAGTTTCTGGAACAAAGATTTTCAAATATGCCATGGTTAGCAACAACAGAAACATACGGACGTAGTCATAAACAAGTGTTAGTGGCCGTGAAATCTTTTTTTAAACCGACCCGTTCCACCTTCTGAGCCCGCCATACGGGAACTTTTATATTGAGAATTTTGCAAAGAAGATAAGTCTACATTTATTAAGCTCCCGGATGTTGGCCGCAATTATCCGCAACTTTTTATTTTACAAAACAACAAATAATTTAAATAATTTCTGAACATTTGCCAAGGCTATTAATTAAATGAAGGAACTTATCAAGTCCATCCAGTCTGCTCGTTTATACGCTTGGCACAAAAATGTTCATCCAAACGGTTCAAATTCTTTAAAAGAGTAAGAAACTAAAATCTGTAAAGAGCCATAGCACCTCAAAAGTGTAATTTGTTATGGCAAGAAAGACCGCTTATTATGACAGTAACAAGAGTGTAATTTTTTAAATCTTCAACAAGTTGTTTGCATCAGAAAAATAGTAATTCTTACAAAGTGACTTTTAAGGCAGGGAACATATTCAATGGAATTCTTACAGGTAAGTGATCAATTAATTTAATATTTTTTTAGTTATTTATGTAAATTGCATTATAATTATTTTTAGATTCCTAAAATTTTTGCATATCATTTGCCATACTCAAACCTTATAATGATTTTAAAACTGGGGAATCCTTTATTAACTACCATTACTTCGAAAAATTTTGAAGGTCCTTGATACATTATAGACTACTAGACATTATTGTAACCTCATCCGTATGCTTTCAAAGAGGATATCTTCTTTCATAATACCAAAATGCCTCAAACTGGATACGTTGTAATATTCTCACCAAACTTAGGACAAATTTGAAGATTTACAATTTCGCTCCAAACCTTCTAAGGTTGATAAACCTCATATTACGCATAGTCTTTAGCCGAAAAAGTCGAAACTTGTCACATCGAAACTTTAATTTTAGGCTGTGTCAGGTTCGAAAATGGACAAACAGTTTCCACAACTTCTTCTAATTTCATCGCACATCGTCAAAATGCTAAATAAATTAATGCCTGATATATTTTCAATTTTTGAATATCTTATTCAATATTAATATTTGTATAAAGATGGGATGCCTCGCTCTACGCCTTTTAACTCCACAAAATGTATTTTTATACCATCAGCCATATGGCTACAGCGGGTATATATCATTTGATACGGCTAAAACGTGCATCATCGAAATAACGGTTTTGGACCCTATGTCTATTTTGACCAAATCTGTTTCAGGAAATTTAAAGTCGATCTAGAGATGTCCGTCTGTCTGTCCGGCTGGCTGGTTGCAATCGATAATACGGCCAAAATGAGCCTTATTGAAATAACGATTTTAGACCCTAGGTCTCTTTGGACCAAATCCGTTTCAGGGCATTTGAAGTCGATGTAGAGATGTCCGTCTATCTGGCTGGCTGGCTGGTATGCACGATAACTCTCCAAGAGAGTATCCGATTTGGTCCAAACTTGATACATCGTAATATTATTATCAAACTTACACCGAGTTCGGAAATGGGCAATATCTGGTACCTCCCCCACAAAATGTCAACATTAAAAAAAAAATAAAAATAATAATTGTCTGCACATGATGATCCGATTTTGCTCCAACTTCGTAATTTTTACATCAGTTCTAGATCAGGTGCGAACATGGCCCACTCCATCAAGTACTTCCCCCACAAAGGGACAAAATTTTAAATAATTATAACTTTTATAAAATGTGAAGTAAGCGTCCGATTGTCTTCAAATTTCACACATCTCAATATTTTTATTAACCCAAGATCTGGTGTTAGGATGGAGTACATCGGTTTACATCTTCTGGTATCTCCCCCACAAAATGTCAAAATTTTCAAAGAAAATAATTGTCCGCACATAGAGAGAAAGGATGATCCGATTTTGCTCCAACTTTGCAAATCCTAATATTTGCATCACTGCCAGGTCTGGTGCGAAAATGGACAATATCGGTCCACTCCTTCAAGTACCTCCCCCACAAAAGGTCAAAATTTTGAATAATTACAACTCTTATAAAATGTGAAGTAAGAGTCCGATTGTCTTCAAATTTCACACATCTCAATATTTTTATTAACCCAAGATCTAGTGTTAAGATGGAGTACATCGGTCCACTTCTTCTGGTATCTCCCCCACAAATTGTCAAAATTTTCAAAAAATATATTTTTCTGCACAGAAAGAGAAATGACAATCCGATTTTGTTCCAACTTTGCAAGTCTTAATATTTGCGTCAGTTCTAGGTGAAGTTCAAAAATGGACAAAATCGGTCCACTCCATCAATTACCTCCCCCACAAAGGGTCAACATTTTGAATAATTATAACTCTTATAAAATGTGATGTAAGAGTCCGATTGTCTTCAAATTTCACACATCACAACATTTTTATTAACCCAATGTCTGGTATTAAAATTAAATGTATAGGTCCACTCCTTCTGGTATCTCCCCCACAAACGGTCGAAGTTTTCAAGAAATATATTTTTTGCACAGAAAGAGAAACGATAATCCAATTTTGCCCCAACTTTGCAAATCCTAATATTTGCATCACTGCCAGGTCAGGTGCGAAAATGGACAATATCAGTCCACTCCATAAAGTACCTCCTCCACAAATGGTCAAAATGTTGAATAATTAAAACTCTTATAAAATGTAATGTAACATACCAATTGCCTTTAAATTACACACATCACAATATTTTTATTAACCCAAGGTCTGGTGTGAAGATGCAATATATCGGTCCACTCCTTCTGGTACCTTCCCCACAAATTCTCAAAATTTTGAATATTTATGAAGCTCATAAAACACGAAATTAGCATCCGATTCCATTCAGACTTGGTACATCTCTATATTTCTATCAACACAAGATGTGTTATAAAGATGGTAGAGGTCGGACCATTTCTTTTGGGACCTCCCACACAAAGGGTGAAAGTTTAGAATAACCAAAACGATTATAAAATCCAAAATAAACATCCGGTCCTCTTCATATTTCAGACATCCCATTATTTCTACTAAAACAAGATCGGCTGTGAAGATGGAATGCATCGGGTCATTCCTTCTGGTACCTCCCCCACAAGGGGTCAAAATTGTGAATATCCATGAAGCTCATAAAACGCGAAATTGACAACGGATTCCATTCAGACTTGGCACATCTCGATATTTCCATCAACACAAGATGTTTTATAAAGATGGTAGAGATGGGACCATTCTTTCTGTTACCTCCCCCACAAAGGGTCAAAGTTTCGAATAACCAAAATAATCATAAAATCCGAAATAAGCTTCCGGTTCTCTTCATATTTCACACATCCCATTATTTCTACTAATACATGATCTGCTGTGACGATGGAATATATTGGTCCACTCCTTTTGGTACCTTCCACACAAAGGGTCAATATTTTGAATACCAATGAAGCTCATAAAACACGAAATGAAGATCCGATTCCATTCAGACTTGATACATCTCTATATTTCTATCAACACAAGATGTGTTATAAAGATGGTAGAGATCGGTCCATTTCTTCTGGTACCTCCCCCACAAAGGGTCGAAATTTTGAATTACCAAAACGATTATAAAATCCGAAATAAGCTTCCGGCTCTCTTCATATTTCAGACATCCCATTATTTCTACTAAAACAAGATCGGCTGTGAAGATGGAATATATCGGTCCATTCCTTCTGGTACCTCCCTCACAAAGGGTCAAAATTTTGAATACCAATGAAGCTCATAAAACGCGAAATTAAAATCCGATTCCATTCAGACTTGGCACATCTCAATATTTCGATCAACACAAGATGTGTTATGAAGATGGTAGAGATCGGACCATTTCTTCTGATACCTCCCCCACAAAGGGTCAAAGTTTTGAATAACCAAAACGATCATAAAGTCCGAAATAAACTTCCAGTCCTCTTCATATTTCACACATCTCAACATGTTCAATAATACAAGGTCTGTTATAAAGATGGTAGAGATCGAACCATTTCTTTTTGTACCTTCCACACAAAGGACCAAAGTTTTGAATAGCCAAAACGATCATAAAATCCGAAATAAGCAATAATAATACTTTTAAGAATAATTTTTTTAAGAAGTTTATTTTAGAGAGCAAACAGATAGTTTGAACGCGTTCTACCAGTTGATCATAATCGATCTCCTCCCAAATGTAGTTTTTATTAGTGTTTTAATGCTTCCACACAAATAGATTCCAAAATCTAAGGTAATGCAATTAATTTACAATAATCAATAAAATACTTTAAATCCTCTGCTTCCTTCCGAACCACAGCTCCAGCATGAATACAACTCCACCGCAAGACAAACCAATTACCAGCAACATCCAAATCCAAAACAAATCATGTGCCGTGAATACCTTCAGTTCCACCATGGGATTTAGATTTCGTAGAGAAATCCACTTGAGTTTTAGTAAATCGGAAAATGCACTACGATACCAGGCTTGCCGAAAACCGTAAGCATGTACCCAATGGATGAGATCATTTAAGGGCTCCCTAAATGGCGAATTGAACTGCAGTTTAAAACCCCAAATGGTCATCGACAGGATGTACATTTCTTCGGGAGTGTAAAAGAGTTTGTTTGCAAAATGACTCTGCACTTGATTAATAACATTCCAAGATGACGAGCGAGCCAAGTAGCAGTAGCTGGTGTTAAGGCTGGCCCTCACTTCGAGCATATGTGAGGTGTTTGTAAAAATTGCATCGATATTCTTTTCATCGTAATAATAGCTAAGCTTATAAGCATCGGCAGTATCGACGAGCAGTTTGACGGGTGATCCCCGCTGGTCCTCAAAGGTGCGTATTTGCCGGTGATATGGTGGACTGGTGAAAAGGCTATTCATTCTGGCCGAGAATTGGGTACTTATGTGGAGGCCAACAAAGCCCACCAGCAGATAAATTATTCTATGGCTAGCCCATTGATGTTTTGAACGCATTTCACACGATTGACCCAATACCCCGGGCAGCACCTTGTCATTTAGCAGCAAATTCAAATATTGCCAAAAACCATCAACACAGAAATCTATGAGGCAATGCACCGAGGATAATAGCAATGAACTGGCCACCAAACAGCCAAAGAAATATGGATCCAAGAGAACACTAAATATTTCACGTAACTCCAATTGCTTTGAAAGCGGAACCATAATCATTATAGCCGATAATTCATATACATCTGACATATTAAACCACCGGTCATCGTAGGCACTGTCCAAGGCCATGGGTATGTCCAAGAGATTGGCATCAACCATATCGTTGATTATGCTGAAGTGGGGAATTTGATTGCCCACCTGCAGCGGCTGATACATTTGCAGGCTTGCATTGAAGTGTTCGGCAAAGAGTAAGACCATTCTGGCCACCAGGCCATTAATTCTGATATTTTTCTTCTCATTATTATCTTCGTACAAAAAGGAATGAGGTGAAATTTGGTCGGCATAGGTTACAAGGGTGGTGTTTTCCAGGTTACGCCAGTGTTGGTGATAGTACAAATCGTCCTCTTTGTTTTCAGAGGTAATCCAATGGTAATTCGGATAGGGTTTTAGGAAGTACAACTGTCCGGGTTGTGATTCAATGAAATTCAAAATTACATTTGTCATTTTGTAAAGACGGCTTTTGTTTAAAATGGTATCCAGAAACCCTTCTTTGTCACTGACGCCCTCCACCAGCCACAATATCCTTACTTGACGCATATAGTTCAGGGTTTGGGCCATTGCCTCCATTATTTTCTCATCCATCAAACCCGAGACGAGTATCACAGCTAAAATATTTGAATTTCCAATTTTATGTTTGTATTCGAATACGACATCCTTGGTGATTATGATTTTCGTTAGAGGAAATCCACAGAGTGTTTTCAGTAGTTCAACTTCTTTTATGTCGTTGTGTTGGACAATTAACAGGCCTTCAAATGGTTGTTCTTGCCAAATATCCCACAGCAAGTTTTCGTAAGTCAACATAAATTCGTCGTCTTTGGAGTGCTGTTGAGTGGTGAGGTAGTCTATTAAATGTTCGCTCCACGTGCCCGAGACAAACATTGCGAGCAGCAATAGAAGTTCCTTTGTTGATGACATCTTATCAATAACTAATTCGAAAAGTCCTTTCTTCTCAGGGTTTTGGTAGGTTATGTATTTATATTTTCCATAAGGAACAACAATTAATTTACCTTTACGAATGTAGGGAATATCATTTATTTTTGAAATGAAAATAAAGAAAAATATTTTGGAACCGAATTGGATTAGGCTGGGAAGTGTAAACATCAATGGTCCCCGGAACAAAATATTACGGCAGAAAGTAGAATACTAATATTTATCCAAAGGCATCACACATACAAGAATAAATTGGAAAAAATACTCTTAAACATGTATGTATTTTTTATAATTTCTAGAGCATACTTTTAGGCGCTTAACAATAAACAGTGGTTTTTAAAGAAATTTCTGTAGGACCATCACAACAATAAACCTAGATTTTGGATTTTTTAAAGAATATTTTTTCAAAGAATGTTTTTTCAAAGGACCAACAAACGTGGTTTTTTTAAAGAATTTTTTTTTAAAAGGACCAACAAACGTGGATTTTTTAAAGAATTTTTTTTCAAAAGACAAAGAAACGTGGTTTTTTTAAAGAGTATTTTTTCAAAGGACAAAGAAACGTGGATTTTTCAAAAAATATTTTTTCAGAGGACCAACAAATTTGGATTTTTTAAAGAATATTTTTTTCAAAGGACCAACAAGGATTTTTTTAAAGTATATTTTTTTGAAGGACCTCACAAGACGTTGATTTTTTAAATAATAATTTTTCAAGGACCATACAAGGCGTGGCTTTTTTTAAGAATATTTTTTTCAAGGACCATACAAGGCGTGGTTTTTTAAAGAATATTTTTTTCAAGGATTTTTTTAAGGTATATTTTTTTCAAGGACCATACAAGGCGTGGATTTTTTAAAAAATATTTTTCAAAGGACCATCCCAAAGTGGATTTTTTAAAGAATATTTTTTCAAAGGGCCATCCCAAAGTGGATTTTTTAAAGAATATTTTTTCAAAGGACCAAAAAACGTGGATTTTTTAAAAAAAAATTTCAAAGGACCATCCCAAAGTGGAAGAATATTTTTTTAAAGGACCAACAAACGTGGATTTTATAAAAAAAATATTTTTTCAAAGGACAATCATCCGTGGATTTTTTAAAGAATATTTTTTTAAAGGACCATCCCAATGTGGATTTTTTAAAGAATACTTTTAAAAAAAACCATCCCAACGTGGATTTTTTAAAGAATTTTTTTTTTCAAGAACCACACCATGCGTGGATTTTTTAAAGATTTTTTTTTTTCAAGAACCACACCATGCGTGGATTTTTTAAAGAATTTTTTTCAAGAACCACACCATGCGTAGATTTTTTAAAGAATATTTTTTCAAGGACCATACAAGTCGTGGATGTTTTAAAAAAATATTTTTTTAATGGATCATACAAGGCGTGGATTTAAAAAATATATTTTTTTCAAGGACCATACAAGTCCTGGATTTTTAAAAAATATTTTTTCAAGGACCATACATGTCGTGGATGTTTTAAAAAATATTTTTTCATGGATCATACAAGGCGTGGATTTAAAAAAATATATTTTTTTCAAGGACCATACAAGTCCTGGATTTTTAAAAAAATATTTTTTCAAGGACCATACATGTCGTGGATGTTTTAAAAAATATTTTTTCATGGATCATACAAGGCGTGGATTTAAAAAAATATATTTTTTTCAAGGACCATACAAGGCCTGGATATTTTTTCAAGGACCATACAAGTCGTGGATATTTTTTCAAGGACCATACAAGTCGTGGATATTTTTTCAAGGACCATAAAAGGCGTGGATATTTTTTCAAGGACCATACAAGGCGTGGATATTTTTTCAAGGACCATACGGGGTGTGGATTTTTAAAAAAAAATTTCAAGGACCATACAAGTCGTGGATATTTTTTCAAGAACCATGCAAGGCGGGGATATTTTTTCAAGGACCATACAAGGCGTGGATATTTTTTCAAGGACCATACAAGTCGTGGATATTTTTTTTAAGAACCATGCGGGGTGTGGATTTTTAAAAAAAAATTTTCAAGGACCATACAAGTCGTGGATATTTTTTCAAGGACCATGCAAGGCGTGGATATTCTTTCAAGGATCATACAAGTCGTGGATATTTTTTCAAGGGACATACAAGGCGTGGATATTTTTTCAAGGACCACACAAGGCGTAGATATTTTTTCAAGGACCATATAAGGCGTGGATATTTTTTCAAGGGACATACAAGTCGTGGATATTTTTTCAAGGACCATACAAGGCGAGGATATTTTTTCAAGCACCATATAAGGCGTGGATATTTTTTCAAGGGACATACAAGGCGTGGATATTTTTTCAAGGACCATATAAGGCGTGGATATTTTTTCAAGGGACATACAAGGCGTGGATATTTTTTCAAGGACCATATAAGGCGCGGATATTTTTTCAAGGACCATATAAGGCGTGGATATTTTTTCAAGGACCATATAAGGCGTGGATATTTTTTCAAGGGACATACAAGGCGTGGATATTTTTTCAAGGACCATATAAGGCGTGGATATTTTTTCAAGGATCATATAAGGCGTGGATATTTTTTCAAGGACCATATAAGGCGTGGATATTTTTTCAAGGGACATACAAGGCGTGGATATTTTTTCAAGGACCATATAAGGCGTGGATATTTTTTCAAGGATCATATAAGGCGTGGATATTTTTTCAAGGACCATACAAGGCGTGGATATTTTTTTCAACGACCAATACGGGGTGTGGATTTTTAAGAAATATTTTTTAACGACCACCCCAACAATAAACTTGGATATTTTAACGAATATTTTTTCAAGGACCATACAAGTCGTGGATATTTTTTCAACGACCAATACGGGTTGTGGAATTTTAAGAAATATTTTTTAAGGACCATCACAACAATAAACTTGGATTTTTTAACAAATATTTTTTCAAGACCATCCGAACAATAAACTTGGATTTTTAGAGAATATTTTTTCAACTACGATCCCAACAAAAAACGTGGATTTCTAGAGAATATTTTGTCAATGACGATCCCAACAAAAAACTTGAATTTTTAAAGAATATTTTGTCAAGGTCCACAGCAGTAGTTGTAGTATATATTTTATATAGTGTAGTATATTATTTCATTTAATTTGAAAATTTTTTGGGAAAGCTTGAATTGAAGTTTTAAAAATACTAAATTTTAATCCGAATAAGTCACTTTAACATAATGTGTAAACTAGCCTTTTTAACTATGGATGCATGGATATAGGATCTAACAAATTCATGTGATTTTTTTTTCTTAACGCCATCTTTTGTCAGACGATGGCAATATCATAATATGCCTTATCATTTGGTTTACTGAATACTTTTAACATAAGCCAAGACAACCCCCTTAAATTTTACCTTCAAAAACACTTCTTATTCAGTTGTAAAATATTCAGCCAAGTGGGAACAGTAAGTGTACCCTCGTGATGAACGTGGTTTATGTCTCTGTTTCGATTAAGCCGAGACAATCACACATGGACGAAATATTGCAGTTTGAATTGCAGCCGTTAGATGTCATTTATAAATTTGTTTGTTCCCAAGATTTTTTACAATTACAAGGGGGATTTCATAGAATGACAGAGAAGGGTTTTTTTCAAGATGTAAATGCAAGAATATAGAGCTTATGGATCCAATAAAGAATTAGATAGGTTTTTTTTCGAGAGACAGAAAGTACTTATTGAAGGTTTAAGAATACAGAAGTCGTTCCAGGTAGGTAAGACTACTTTTGGATGACCAGAAGAGATGTCCTTAAATAATACAATAAGAGTCCTGAGGACTCTAAGTCCTAAGGAGTTTAGGAATACTGAAAAAGGAGGTTGGAGTGCACTTCTTGCAGAAGGGTAGAATTGACTTTCTTTCGAGGAACGGAAAAAATGCAGAAGACATTTTTTGAGTTGTGCAAGTGAGAGAGTCGAAAGAATATTTTATAAAAGGCCTGAAAAGGCCTTATTTTGGAAGGTCAGAAATTATTTCTTTAAAAAAACACAATTGAAGTATTATAGAAGGTCACTAAGGACTTCAAAAACCTAAAGTGATTTCTTATACCGGTCCTTCAGAAGACCTTTAAAAGCAACTTATTCTAACGTCTAAAGGGGGTATCTTCAGGAGGGGCAAAAGAGAATTTTTCAGAAGTCCAAAAGTGTATTTTTTTAGAGCCAGGTGGGACCTCTTTTGATGAACTTGAAGGAAATTTTCTATGAATCCAAAAAGTGAAGAATTAATCCATGTTAGACTTCTTTTTAAAGAGAATTTTTGAGAGACTCAAAAGATGTATTTTTAGAGCCAACAGGGCATGAAGAGAATTTTCCAACAATCCTAGAAGACTTTGTTATTGAAAAGGCGGAATGGTTTTATTATTGGTGTCCTGCGTGTTCTTCTCCAGAAGGTCATCAAAAGTTTTTGTTTAAAAGCCATTTAGGAGGACCAGAAAGTTATCAAGATTTTTTTCTTTTAAATTTCAGAAGAGACTACTTATTAAAGGCCTGAAAGGGAATATTTAGAAAGGCCATACTCGCCTTATTCAGAGCCTAAATGGACTTTGTCTTCAACGTTTGAAGGGAATTTTCCAACAATCCCAAAAGACTTTGTTATTAAAAGCAGAGATGGACTTAATATTTGTGTCATTAAAGAGCTTCTCCAGAAGGACATCAAAAGTCTTGTCTAAAAGTCAAATGCCTGAAAGGGTATCTTTAGAAAGACCAGAATCGCATTTTTCAGAAGCCCAAAAGTTATATTTTTTTAAAGCCAGAAGGGTATTTCTTTGGCGTGGCTGAAAGGAATTTTCCAACAAACGAAGAGAACTTTTATATTAAGAGGCCGGAATGGACTTATTATTTGGGTTCTGAAACTACTTTTACAGAATGCCATCTAAATGCTATGTTCAAAAGCAATGTTTTTTATTTAAAGTTCTGAAGTGTCTTCTTTTTATAGGTCTGGAAGGAGACAATTTTAGAGTCAGAACGCTTTTCTTTTTGGAGAGCTTG